CCAGGATGGATGAAATGCTATATCCCTACTAATGTGAGTCCAATGTGTTTAAATCCAAAGGACAAGTCATAAATTACCTCAAACAGACATTTGACTATTTTCGCACACACGTGACGAGTTAGGGCTTACATTGTATTTTGGAATGAACATGGTGATGTGTACCCGAAAAAAACGGGATGTGTTTATTTTATTTGACTTGATATTTGAAGATTTAAAAAAAAAAAAAAGGATATAATTAGATTATGACGGCAAATGAAAACATGTTCAGCAAAAATGAAATGCGACCAAAGAAGCATGGGAGTTAATTTTTATTTATTCAATTTATAATTTTCCTTTCACAAGATAACTACGCCATGGACGTGATGAGGGCCATGGCATTGCCCACACGCCAAAATCTGTGTCAATGCTGTGTATAAGATTATCTTTTAGATAAATATTGATTTAATCACAATATCTTTCTGAAATATTTGGGGTAAGAATGAATTTCCTGTTTCCTTTGGAGAAAGTTGCGGGTGTCTCAAAGCTTGCTGGGGAGTGTGTAGGGACCGGATTGAAATTGGGACACTGGAGGAGGAGACACAGGAGAAACAGGAAGAACTCAGAGAGACAAGGGAAAAACGTAAATCACTGCCAGAGCCGTTGTTACACCTAGACACCTAGAGACCTGTTGTTAGTGTGACATAAGAAAAAGAAGTCATTACGCACCCTGCTGGCAGCTGCCAGAAAGGCCTAGGCCAAGAAGGAAGCTCCGTCCTATGATAGGTGTCAATCACTAATCAAAGAAATCTAGATTACAGAACGTACCTGAGAGACAAGTAGACTTGTGGGAGGAGAGGTCGAAGGTATCATCTTGGGTGTGATGGGTCTTGTTAATGTACTGTATTCATTTTTGGATATTTGTGTTCTCTTCCTAATCTACAACATGAAGGTAATTGATACATATGTATACTAAAGAGTTGTAGGGGTGGGGAATGAGGGGTGGTGGGAGTAACCCAGTGGGTGGGCAGGAGAGTGGAAAGTGGTGGTCAAGTCTGATGTGCTCCAAAGGCATCAAGGGTGAGAAGGTAGAATGAAAAGGTAATGTTGTGAAGAAGATCGGATGTAATTTGTGGAATATACATCGAAAACTTTTGTATCCAATAAATAATAAGTTGTAAGAAAGGCAGAAAAAAAGAAAGAAAGAAACAGCCCTGCTTTATAGAGAATTGCATTTGATCAAAACTATATTGCATTTTTATTTTCGGTTTCAGATGCCTGTGAAGTTGCAGTGGACACAAACACAGCACACAGAAACCTCTTCTTATCTGACAACAACAGAAAGGTGACATCGATGAGAGAGGTCCAGCCATATCCAGATCACCCAGACAGATTTAACCACTGGAGACAGCTGCTGTGTGAAACGGGTGTGACTGGTCGCTGTTACTGGGAGGTCAAGTGGAAAGAAGAACTTCACATAGCGGTGACATACAAAGGAATCAGAAGGAGAGGAGACGGTGCTGAGAGCAGGCTGGGAGGGAACGATCATTCCTGGAGTCTAAAATGTTCTGATGACGGTTACTCTGTTTGTCACAATGACAGAGAAACAGCCATACGCCTTCCCTCCTACTCCTCTGTCTCTGACAGAGTAGCAGTGTATGTGGACTGTCCTGCTGGCACTCTCTCCTTCTATAGAGTTTGTTTTAACACGCCGATCCACCTCCACACCTTCAACACCACATTCACTGAACCTGTCTACCCTGCATTTGGGTTTAGTTCCGAGTTACAGTTTGGGTCTTTTGGTACATCCATGTGTATTTGTCAGTTGTGAACGGGAGAGTCAGCTTCTGAATTAGAGAGAGACACACTGCTTACTGGTTCAGTCTGTACATACACACGCACAGAATCAAATACTTTGAAATGATGTATTCAACCATCAGAAATACTTTTTACAAAATCATTCCTCTGTCTGTGCATAAACATCTTCCAGATGTCTAAAGCTGTTAAACACAAGTATCATTATCTGTGAGAACAAGATGTAATTAATCTTAAAACTAAAAAGGTTCCAGGAGCTAAATATCGACTACATGACAACTACAAGATGAACCTTAGATTCTGTCCTTGATAAATGGTTGATCTTTTAATACTGTAATATACAGTGAGTCTAACAAAATTTCAGATAATTCTTATTTTATTTTGTACTGTAGAATCATCAACATGACACTGAAATGAAGCTGAAGATAAGGCACGTACACGTATTGTCATACAACTCACCAGATAATCCAGGTCCCCGCATTGTGTCACTATATTACTGAAATGGTGAGAATTGATGGGATCCTGCATTTCCATAAATGCAATATCATAAAGAGCTGTACAGTCTTGCAACCCGATAACACAACACTGAAATTAATCCTACCTTTGTGAAAGCGTTTGATGTTTGCATCTTTGTTTGAGAAGTGTTGATTGATTCAACATTATTGTGATCACAAAGGTTGCAGTTTAATAACAAATGACATAGGTGCTAGTAATATGACCTCTACAGACTTTTAAATGCAACATGCACTGTAAGGAGTGAAACGATTTTAATACCTTTAGCTGAATTTCTATTAAACACTGTATATATTAAGGGTCTCTGTATCCTGCATTTCTTTAGAACAATGTGTTAAAAAGCTGCCTCCAGAAATCATTGTGGATTTCATTTCATCTTTAAAAATCCTCATGTTGTGCCCCAGTCTGGACTCTCGACAAAGGCTGTGTAACCACAAAGCAGAGAGTTCCACTTTTACAGTTTTATATAGTTCACATTTTTATTATGTTTTTCGTTATAGATCCCAATACATATTATTATGGATTGCAAGTTTGTTGATAACCAATATTGTTAAGTAGCAAATTAAGTGTGAACTATAATGCTGGCCAGGGTGAAGTTACTGCAGAACACTTTCACATCCAGTTTATAGAGATTAGATTATGGACATTGTGAAATAATTCTGAAATAATTCTGAATGTGACTGGATATTTATGTATTAAAAACACTGATATACTGTACATGCATTAGAAAAACGTTTTTGTCTCTAAATAAAATCAAAGTACAACTGAACATGTTCTTAAACATTTCTGTCCAATAACTTTCTGCTCTTTATCTGACTCTTGGTAAACTCCTGCTCACACACATCGCTCTGGGCGTTTCCCTGTTGAAGTTTAGTTTCACTTTTGACTAATGTTGTGACGCAGATTATTTTCTACCCCAGGAGGTAATGTGAACAGCCTTTAATGTTTTTACTCGTTACACCTGTCTTTGCTTGTGATATCTGGCGCTCGGGTTGTAGTAGTGTTACTATAATGTTACTGTGACTGAGTCAGCGCTGTAACTGTAAAGTCCCGACCGATATTAAACTGTTCGCCATGTTGTTTGGATATTTACAGTACAAGCGGTGGAATAAGAGTAGAAGCAGAGTTATTGCTGTGTAGCTCCACTTACTGATGACTGGAGGCAGCTTTTCCCGCATCAGTGAGCCTGCGGTGAGCCGCTGCTCTCCCGCTGTCTGAGCCACTAAATGCGGTCTGAGCTCGGCTGGACAGCCGCTGGAGAAAAAAAAGCTCTGGCTTTCTCTGTGGGTGAATGGCTGTCATTAGATTCACACTACAGGACTGGTGTGCACAGTGTGGCGGGCTGAGGGGCTGACAGGGTATTTAAGGCTCTATATGATGTTCAGAAAGACAGTTAACACCGCATCCAATGGGTCAGAGGCTCATGGTTCTCCTCCAACGGGAACGAGTGTTGCAATAATTAGGGTTCAGATTCTTCAACAGTGGTGGAGAGGAACTGAGTAAATTTACTCAGTACAGTTCTGAAGTAGGTCTACTTTAGTATTTCCATGTTCTGTTACTTGTCTCATGTACCTGAGAGATGTAGGGTAACTTTTCAGTTTGTAAGTTGTAGATTAAAAACACATGGATCAACACATACATGATTAAAGATGAAACTACAACGTGTTATTACAGTTATTAGGAATTTACACACCCATAAACAATACAATTCTATTTCCAGCCTAAACAAAAGATTTCCTTCTTTTCTCTGTGAAATCTGATTATAACCTGAATATTTCAGGGTCTTTGATGACAAAACAAGACGTTTGAAGACGTCATCTCAGACTCTGAGAAACTTGAATAGATAATTTGTTGACATTTTATTGAACAAATGATTAATCGATAAATGGAGAAAATAACTGTCAGTCGCAGCTCTACAATCTTTTTTAAATATTTTTTAATTTTCATTGTCAGTAAATTGACTGAATGTTATAATATTGGGGCTTTGAGGTGAAATAAATTCAGTCCCAGTTGTGTGTGAAATAATCAGCTGTAGCTGGGCTGCTCTACACTTCACTGCAGCTTCATTGTGCCGTCTCGTGGACTGATAGTAGAAGTACAGCAGCTGATGGCAGCTTCCTCTGCCTCACACTTCTGTGTGACTGCATTCAACTGACACTGATGTGCAACAGGGAAGAAGAGCCCATCAGTGGAGGAGCAGCTGACATTTACACAGGAGAAATGATGTAAATGGGGATTTCAGTTGATGTGTAGATGAATGATTTGTGTTTCTTTCCATATGAAGGTAGAGAGTATGTGTTAGCTGATGTGGATGTGAACTCAGCAGCATGGATCAGTGTGAGGACAGAGAGGAGGGAGCCCCTCCCTCTAAAACCACTCTGTGTGGGGAACATGAGAGTCAGACCAGAGCTCAGAGGTGAGATGAGGATCTCTAACTGTCCATGACTCTGTGTCAGAGCTCAGCACTCAGATCACTGCACCATCATTATTCACACTCAAAGCTCTGTGTGTTGTGTTGTGTTGTGTTGTGTTGTTGTGTTGTCTTGTGTTGTGTTGTGTTGTGTTGTGTTGTTGTGTTGTTGTGTTGTTGTGTTGTGTTGTGTTGTGTTGTGTTGTGTTGTGTTGTGTTGTGTTGTGTTGTGTTGTGTTGTTGTGTTGAAGCCCAGAGCAGCAGCACACACCAGACTCTGCTGGACCTGGACCTGGACCTGGACCCAGCTCTGCATCTATGAAGAACAACTGGTCAATTAATCCTCATAGTTTCAAACAAGTTTGAGAATTTAAAACTGACAGAAAGGCATTTCACACCAAACATTAGATTTTGTGTTTATACAAAGACTGAACACATTTTCAGTTTTTTATCCAACATGCACATTTATCGGTTCTTTTTCTGTTTCAGGATCCAGCAGCAGAGACCAGACTCCCCTGACCCCAGCTCTCTGTCTTTAAAGAGCGACTGGTCGAAGGATATTTTTACTGATTTTAAACGACACCATTTACCTGTCAACAAGTCAGTTGTTATTAGCGTTTAAATGCTAAAATTATTAGTATTTTATACGTATATATATTTTTTATACCATTTTATGCAGAAAAAACATTTACTGAACAAAAGCTTTGTTTGGTTTTTCTGTCAGGATTCATCAGAGACCAGACTCTGTTGGACCTGAACCCAGCTGTGTGTCCTTCAACAGTGCGTGGTCAAAGGATATTTTTACAGATTTTAAACAACAACATTTATCTGACAGTGGGTAAGTTCTCAGTATTAAACAGAACCCCATTATTCTTTTCTGAGCTTTCCCTTTCCTAGTGTGTTATACAGCTTTTAGCTTTTAATCATCTACAAAGTCACAAGGCTCAAAGTACACGCCAGAGGGAGTACCTCTGTCAGGGCAAAACACACTTTTCTCATTTGCATGAAACGCCTCGTTGGGGTCCAGGCCTTTCTTTCTAGACCTGTTGTCATCAGTAGATCCCTCTGTGCCGCCGACCTGCAAACAGAACACTCTGTGTAAGCTTTGCACAGCAGCACAGCACACAACTACTTAAACGCACAGTATGCAACTTCTGCCTCCAGGGTCTCTCAATCAGAATAATAAAAAAAGATTAAGTTGGATGATGTCATGAAATAGCGTGGGATCATGGGAGTTGTTGTCTTAACCATCATTACAGTGAGCTTCTCCCCGTTTTGATTCCTTCAGTGTCAGTGGTTGAGGAAATCAAACAGACCTGGTGATAAGAACCGTTAAAAACACTGAATAAAGCAGAAAACACACTCCTCTTTTAATGAAGTTGACGTAGTAACTTGGTGTGACCAAGAACAAATATGTGTGAACATTAACATAATATTTGCATTTATTTCATATTCCTCAGTGACAAACATTGCATTGCTGCGCAGAGCACATCATTTTTCTAGGTTTTTTAAAGAACAGCTCCGATGCCTGGCCAAACGGGAATGCCCGTGGTGCTCGTCCATTTATCGATATCCGTATACCTGCAGCCAGGTGCTCCCCTTTCAGTCAGTTTCTCAGGTCAGTTCTGACCTGAAAAACAGATGATTGTTGCATGTTGCATTTAAATTACATGTGCTGAAAACACATGTAATTTAAATTAAGCTTAGTTAAAGCTCAAAGCTATTATCAAAGTCACAGAACAATTAATAAGCATAGTAAGAAGAGGGGTTGTTTTACATTGTCTGTGCAATATCCACCGTGTCCCTGTCGAATGTAATGTCTCTCTCTTTCCCTCTTTCTGTTTGTCTGCATGTTAGCAGAAAGAAGAGGTACAGGGGAGTGAGTAGAGAGTAGTTAATCAAGTGTGGCTTGCACCATTCTGATGGATTAAAAACATACAAATAAAATGCCAAATATACTTGGGCACCTGTTAAAATACCTGGGCGGCCAGCCCAAGTAAAGTCTATGTGTGGGCGGAACCCTACAAACACTGAGCTGAAAGCTACAAACAGCTGCAGACTGAGCTGTTGATTCTCAGTGGGTTCAGCAGGACTAGTAAACCTTTACCACTGCAGGGAGTCGTCTGATTCCCTCTTCACATCCAAACATGACTTCATGGACCTTTACCTTTTGTCTGTCTCTGTGTGGAAAGACATGATGTGAGCTTATTCTTCATGATTCCTCCGCAGAGTGCACCAGGAGAGCTCAGAGGTTCCCAGTGGTCAGTCTGCCCAGCAGCATCAAACACACCTGGACTCCATATTTATGGTCTGTACATGTACAAAAACTAATTTCACATCTGTTCTGTTGAAAATAACCTCCCTGCTCTCCCTTTTAGACCAGTGGACTGTCAGTCTGCCCAACATGGATCAGATGTTTGATTGTGTCATTCATATAGTTTTTTTGTTCCAGCTGATGGAGGAGAACATTGGCACTTTTGTGAAGAACGAGTTGAAAAAAATCAAGAGGGTTCTGAGTCAAGATTACCCAGAATGCTTAGAGAGTCAGGGGGAGGATGAGGAGGTGTTGGGCGATGAGGATGAAGAGCAGAGGAGGAGCAGCAGAGAGGCATTTCTGAAGATCACAGTGAACTTCCTGAGGAGACTGAAGCAGGAGGAGCTGGCTGACTGTCTGCAGAGCAGTAAGGATTTCTCTAAAGATTTAACATGATGGATGGGACATTTACTAACGTCTCAACACGTGGGGAAATCTGTTCACATATAATTCTTTAGGGTGATTAAACCATCGTATTTTCTTTATAAATCGGTCATAGATTTTATTTCTTAATTATTTCTTTATGTCTTTCTGCAACAAAATCTAAACAGTGTCCAGTTCCTGATGCCCTGATGATGGATTAGTCTCCAGTAGAAATGTATGAGAACTGGGCTTGGCTGACTGTCAAAGACCTCCCTCTCTAACTGCCTCCACTCCTCCAAAGACATTTCCTCAATTTGTCTCTGCAAAAAAAAAAAAAACATTTTTATCAACATCAACATTATATCATAGGCCAGTGGACCCTCATTGGCCTCCCTCAATGCACTGAATTCTCTGTCACTTTAAAAATAAACACAGCTCAGACTCTGTCCTTCTCACCACTGTAAATTTCAGTTACAAGTGTTACATGCAACACCCTGATTGCTGTCCTGATGCAAAGCTAAATTAGCTTAGCTGCTAGTGTTATACTATCTTCTCATTGAGATAGATATAACCAAATAAATGCAGCCTCTACAAACAATGTTAAGAATATTTATAAACTATGTAGTATAAATCCTAAGCTGTAAACATTGTTACTGGACATTCTGTTGTTACTGCAGGGGGTGGTAAGAATAAGTTAACAGTGTGAATTTGTTTAGAGGCTCACTTGACCCTCTTGCGGTTTGTACATACCTACTTTAAGAAAATATGCATTTGTGTTCTTTCAGAATCTCCTGTTATGTGCCAACCTAGACTCAAATCTAATTTGAGGAAGAAGTTCCAGTGTGTGTTTGAGGGGATTGGTAAAGCAGGAAACCTAACCCCTCTGAATCAGATCTACACAGAGCTCTACATCACAGAGGGAGGGACTGGACAGGTCAATGATGAACATGAGATCAGACAGATTGAAACAGCGTCCAGGAAACCAGATAGACCAGAAACGACCATCAGACAAGAAGACATATTTAAAGCCTCACCTGGAAGAGATGGACCAATCAGAACAGTGATGACAAAGGGAGTAGCTGGCATTGGGAAAACATTCTTAACGCAGAAGTTCACTCTGGACTGGGCTGAAGACAAAGCCAACCAGGACATACAGTTCACATTTCCATTCACTTTCAGAGAGCTGAATGTGCTGAAAGAGAAAAGGTTCAGCTTGGTGGAACTTGTTCATCACTTCTTTACTGAGACCAAAGAAGCAGGAATCTGCAGGTTTGAACAGTTCCAGGTTGTGTTCATCTTTGACGGACTGGATGAGTGTCGACTTCCTCTGGACTTCCACAACACTGAGATCCTGACTGATGTTACAGAGTCCACCTCAGTGGACGTGCTGCTGACAAACCTCATCAGGGGGAAACTGCTTCCCTCCGCTCACCTCTGGATAACCACACGACCTGCAGCAGCCAATCAGATCCATCCCGAGTGTGTTGACATGGTGACAGAGGTCAGAGGGTTCACTGACCCACAGAAGGAGGAGTACTTCAGGAAGAGGTTCACAGATGAGGAGCAGGCCAGCAGGATCATCTCCCACATCAAGACATCACGAAGCCTCCACATCATGTGCCACATCCCAATCTTCTGCTGGATCACTGCTACAGTTCTGGATGATGTGTTGAAAACCAGAGAAGAAGGACAGCTGCCCAAGACCCTGACTGAGCTGTACATCCACTTCCTGGTGGTTCAGACCAAAGTGAAGAACATCAAGTATGATGGAGGAGCTGAGACAGATCCACACTGGAGTCCAGAGACCAGGGAGATGATTGAGTCTCTGGGAAAACTGGCTTTTGAGCAGCTGCAGAAAGGAAACCTGATCTTCTATGAATCAGACCTGACAGAGTGTGGCATCGATATCAGAGCAGCCTCAGTGTACTCAGGAGTGTTCACACAGATCTTTAAAGAGGAGAGAGGCCTGTACCAGGAAAAGGTGTTCTGCTTCGTCCATCTGAGTGTTCAGGAGTTTCTGGCTGCTCTTCATGTTCATCTGACCTTCATCAACTCTGGAGTCAATCTGCTATCGGAAGAACAAACAACCTCCCAGACGTCTGAAACAAAACAAGACAAATCCGCAGAGACAAACTTCTACCAAAGCGCTGTGGACGAGGCCTTACAGAGTCCAAATGGACACCTGGACTTGTTCCTCCGTTTCCTCCTGGGTCTCTCACTTCAGACCAACCAGACACTCCTACAAGGCCTGTTGACACAGACAGGAAGTGGTTCACTGACCAATCAGGAAACAGTCCTCTACATCAAGAAGAAGATCAAAGAGACTTCCTCTGCAGAGAAAACCATCAACCTGTTCCACTGTCTGAATGAACTGAATGACCATTCTCTAGTGGAGCAGATCCAACAGTACCTGAGTTCAGGAAGTCTCTCCTCAGAAAAACTGTCTCCTGCTCAGTTGTCAGCTCTGGTCTTCATCTTACTGTCGTCAGAAAAAAATCTTGATGTGTTTGACCTGAAGAAATACTCTGCTTCGGAGGAGGCTCTTCTGAGGCTGCTGCCAGTGGTCAGAACATCCAAGACAGTTCTGTATGTATAGCTATAGATAGCTGGATTTGTTCATAATTAAATGAAGACATAACTATCTTTTCAACAGAAGACAAATAAATAACTCATGGTTTCTTTTTCTTGTTTTATTTTCTCTCCAGGTTGAGTGGCTGTAACCTCTCAGAGAGAAGCTGTGAAGCTCTGTCCTCAGTTCTCAGCTCAGAGTCCTCTAGTCTGAGAGAGCTGGACATGAGTAACAACAACCTAAACGATTCAGGAGTGAAGCTGCTTTCTGCTGGACTGGAGAGTCATCACTGCTCACTGAAAACTCTCAGGTCAGCATTCATCAACCTGTTCAACTGATGACCATTTAAAATCTGATTTACATTAGTGGAACAGCTGTTGTTGCTAACTTGTGTAAGGTTGTGTCTGCTCATGTTTTGTCAGGACATTTACCAAAGAATCATGAAAAAACAAATTTTTCCAAACTAAGAGTTGTAGTGAGAGAAGCCCATTGATGTGTGACATGATTTTTGTGACACTGCAGTATAAATATGTTGTTATAACAATTAACTTTTCACATTATAACGTGATACTGACCCCTTTTAATTTGTGTGGCATAGCAGCAATACACTTCCATACAACTGAACTGAAACAAGAAATATATATTTGTATACATAATTGACCAGCTGGGTAGACATTCACGTACAGCAACACAGTGTTGAACATTCACCATCCGCTGAGGGAAAAGGGAGAAAGACACATCCTGACAATATTTGCCATTCAGTGAGTAGGCGGGGTTTCCTAATCAGGTCTACAGGGGCTGGATCCCACCAACTAGCTAGCAACAGTGACACCCTCTTTTTTTTGGTGGAACTTTCACACATCCATGTTAACATGTTAATGTTTTAGCTCCAAGCACCACTTTGTCTAGGTCCAGTTTCATAGAGCTACCACCATGACTATAGACTGTTGTTTTGTTTTGTTCTGCAGGCTGTCAGGCTGTCTGGTCACAGAGGAAGGCTGTGCTTCTCTGGCTTCAGCTCTGAGCTCCAACCCCTCCCACCTGAGAGAGCTGGACCTGAGATACAATCATCCAGGAGACTCAGGAATGAAGCTGTTGTCTGCTGGACTTGAGGATCCATACTCAAGACTGGACACTCTCAGGTATGGAGAGGCCTCCTGCAGCCGCAGACATTGTCTGTTAGGGGTTGACTAAATAATATGAATGAGAGAAAATTCTGCCTCTGTCTTTTTAGTTAATGATTGTTATGGCCTCCATAACCAAACCACAGGTTCAACTGGAAACTGGAACATATAAAGGACGGCAACACAAATGAGATGCCAAGAAAAAAATAATCATTTAAATTTTAAACAAAGCAAACCCTACTCAAAATACTTAAGAAATACAAAAGAGGGTTGGAGATCCCAGCGCAAAAGAACAAAAGGAGCCACGCAACGGGCTGTCACACTCTGGGACTCCCCCCTAGACTGCCTAAAGAAAACTAACTCAACCAAAACAAAAAAACAATAACTGGACTACTGGTGATCTCCAACCCAGAAAATAAAATAAGAAACTAAAACAACAAATTCCAACACTCTGGACCATGCTGGGAAACAAAGAACTACTTGGGGAGAAGAGTCAAGAAGTTTGCAGACAGTGTGGCAAGTGAGTCAGCGCTCCGTACCCTATCTCTGTGTGGTGAAATAATTCAGCTGTAGCTGGGCTGGCTCTACACTTCACTGCAGCTCATTGGCCGTCTCGTGGACTTGAGGTAGTAGAGAGACAGCAGCTGATGGCAATAGCGGTTCCTCGTGCCTCACACTTCTGCTTGTGACTTGCCATTTCGACTGACACTGATGTGGCAACAGGAGGAAGAAGAGCCCATCAGTGGAGGAGCAGCTGACATTTACACAGGAGAAATGATGTAAATCGGGGATTTCAGTTGATGTGTAGATGAATGATTTGGTGTTTCTTTCCATATGAAGGTAGAGAGTATGGTGTTACTGATGTGGATGTGAACTCAGGCAGCCATGGATCAGTTGTGAGGACAGAAGAGGAGGGAGCCCCTCCCTCTAAACCACATCTGTGTGGGGAACATGAGAGTCAGACCAGAGCTCAAGGTGAGATGAGGACTGCTAACTGTTCCATGACTCTGTGTCAGAGCTCAAGCACTCAGATCACTGACCATCATTATTCACACTCAAAAGCTCTGTGTGTTGTGTTGTGTTGTGTTTGTGTTTTGTGTTGTCTGTGTGTGTGGTTGTGTTGTGTTGTGTTGTTGTGTTGTTGTGTTGTGTGTGTTGTGTTGTGTTGTGTTGTGTTTGTGTGTTGTGTTGTGTTGTGTTGTGTTGTGTTGTTTTGTGTTGTTGTGTTTGAAGCGCCAGCAGCAGCAGCAACTACACCAATGACTCGATGCTGGAGCCGTGGAGGACTGGACAATGGACTGGACCAGCTCTGCGATGGCTATGACGAACAACTGGTCATTAATCCTCATGAGTTTCAAACAAGTTTACGAATTTAAACCTGACAAAGGCATTTCACAACCAAACATTAGATTTTGTGTTTATACAAAGACTGAACACATTTTCAGTTTTTATGCCAGCATGCACATGTTATCGTGGTTCTTTTTCTGTTTCAAGGATCAGCAGCAGAGACCAGACCCCGCTGACCCACTCTCTGTCTTTAAAGAGCGACTGCTGGGAAGGCAGTTATTGTTTACTGATTTGGAAAACGACCCATTTACCTGTCAACAAGTCCACTTGTTATAGCGTTTAAATGCTAAAATGTATTAAGTATTTTATACATATACGTAATATTTTTTATCCACATTTTTACTGCCAGAAAAAGACATTTACTGGAAAAAAAGCTTATGTTTGGTTTTTCTGTCAGCGATTCATGCAGAGACCAGACTCTGTTGGACTGAACCCAGCTGTGTGTCTTCAAGCAGTGCGTGGTCAAAGGAATTTTTTACAGATTTTAAACAACAACATTATACTGACAGTGGGTAAGTTCTCAGTATTAAACGAGAACCCATTATTCTTTCCTGAGCTTTCCTTTCCTAGTGTGTTATACAGCTTTTAGCTTTTAATCATCTACAAAGTCACAAGGCTCAAAGTACACGCCAGAGGGAGTACCTCGTCAGGGCAAAACACACTTTTCTCATTTGCATGAAACGCCTCGTGGGGTCCGAGGCCTTTTCCTTTCTAGACCTGTTGTCATCAGTAGATCCCTCGTTGCCGCCGACCTGCAAACAGAACACTCTGTGTTAAAGCTTTGTCACAGGCAGCACAGCACACAATACTTAAACGCACAGTATGCAACTTCTGCCTCCAGGGTCTCGTCAATCAGAATAATAAAAAAAGATTAAGTGGATGATGTACATGAAATAGGCGTGGGATCATGGAGGTTGTTGTCTTAACCAGTCATTTACAGTGAGCTTCTCCCGTTTTGATTCCTTCAGTGTCAGTGGTTGAGGAAATCAAAACAAACCTGGTGATATGAGAACCGTAAAAAACACTGAATAAAGCAGAAAACACACTCCTCTTTTAATGAAGTTGACGTAGTTAACTTGGTGTGACCAAGAACAAATATGTGTGAACATTAACATAAATATTTGCATTATTTCATATTCTCTAGTGACAAACATTGCATTGCCTGCGCAGAGCAATCATTTTCTAGGTTTTTAAAGAACAGCTCCGATGCCTGGCCAACGGGAATGCCGTGGTGCCTCGTGCCCATTTATCGATATCCGTATACCTGCAGCCAGGTGCTCCCCCTTTCCAGTCAGTTTCTCAGGTCAGTTCTGACACTGAAAAACAGATGATGTTGTTGACATGTTGCATTTAAATAACATGTGCTGGAAAACACATGTATTTTAATTAAGCTTAGTTAAAGCTCAAAGCTATTATCAAAGTCACAGAACAATTAATAAGCATAGTAATGAAGAGGGGTTGTTTTACAGTTGTCTGTGCAATATCCAGACCGTGTCCCACTGTCGAGATGTAATGTCTTCTCTCTTTCCCCTCTGTTCTTTTGTCTGCATGTTAGCAGAAAGGAAGAGGTACAGAGGGAGTGTAGTAGAGGAGTAGTTAATCAAGTGTGGTTGCACCATTCTGATGTGATTAAAATACATATACCAAATATAAATGCCGAAATATACTGGCACCTGTTACAAAGATACCTGGCGGCCAGACCCAAGTAAAGTCTATGTGTGGCGGACACCTACAAACACTGAGCTGAAAGCTACAAAACAGCTGCACGACTGAGCTGCTGATTCTCAGTGGGTTCAGCAGTACTAAGTAAACCTTTACCACTGCAGGGAGTTCTCTGATTCCTGCGTTCACATCCAAAATGACTTCATGGACCTTTACCTTTGTCTGTCTCTGTGTGGAAAGACATGATGTGAAGCTTATTCTTTCATGATTCCTCCGCAGGTGCACCAGGAGAGCTCAGAGGTTCCCAGTGGTCAGTCTGCCCAGCAGCAATCAAACACGACCTGACTCCATATTTATGGTCTGTACATGTACAAAAACTAATTCACATCTGTTCTGTTGAAATTATACCTCCCTGCTCTCCCTTTTAGACCAGTGGACTGTCAGTCTGCCAACATGGATCAGATGTTTGATTTGTTCATTCATATAGTTTTTTTTGTTCCAGCTGATGAGGAGAACATTGGCACTTTTGTGAGAAGAGAGTTGAAAAAAATGCAAGAGGGTTCTGGGTCAAGATTACCCAGAAATGCTCGAGAGTCAGGGGGAGATGAGAGGTGTTGGGCGATGAGATGAAGAGCAGAGGCAGGAGCAGCAGAGAGGGCATCTTCTGAAGATCACATTGAACTTCCTGAGGAGACTGAAGCAGGTAGGAGCTGGCTGACTGTCTGCAGAAGCAGTAAGGATTTCTCTAAAGATTTAACATGATGGAATGGACATTTACTAACGTCTCAACAACGTGGGGAAATCTGTTCACCATATAATTCTTTAGGGTGATTAAACCATCGTATTTTCTTTATAAATCGGTCATGAGTTTATTTCTTAATTATTTCTTTATGTCTTTCTGCAACAAAATCTAAACAGGTCCAGTTCTGATGCCCTGATGATGGATTTAGTCTCCAGTAAAATGTATGAGAACTGGGCTTGGCTGACTGTCAAAGACTCCCTCTCTACTGCCTCCCACCTCCAAAGACATTTTCCTCAATTTGTCTCTGCAAAAAAAAAAAAAACATTTTTATCAACATCAACATTAATCATTAGGCCAGTGGACCCTCATTGGCCTCCCTTCAATGCATCTGAATTCTCTGTCACTTTAAAAATAAACACACCGCTTCAGACTCTGTCCTTTTCTCACACTGTAATATTTCAGTTACAAGTTGTTACATTGCAACACCCTGATTGCTGTCCTGATGCAAAGCTAAATTAGCTTAGCTGCTAGTTGTTATACTATCTTTTCCTCATGAGATAGATATAACCAATAAATGCAGCCCTTACAAACAATGTTAAGAATATTATAAACTATGTAGTTATAAAGATCCTAAATGCTGTAAACATTGTTTACTGGACATTCTGTTGTTACTGCAGGGGGTGGTAAGAATAAGTTAACAGTGTAAATTTGTTTAGAGGCTCACTGACCCTCTTGCGGTTTGTACATACCTACTTTAAGAAATATGCATTTGTGTTCTTTCAAAATCTCCTGTTATGTGCCAACCTAGACTCAAATCTAATTTGAGGAAAGAAGTTCCAGTGTGTGTTTGAGGGGATTGGTAAAGCAGGAAACCTAACCCCTCTGAATCAGATCTACACAGAGCTCTACATCACAGAGGGAGGGAACTGGACAGGTCAATGGTGAACATGAGATCAGACAGATTGAAACAGCGTCCAGGAAACCAGATAGACCAGAAACGACCATCAGACAAGAAGACATAATTTAAAGCCTCACCTGGAAGAGATGACCAATCAGAACAGTGATGACAAAGGGATGCTGGCATTGGGAAAACATTCTTAACGCAGAAGTTCACTCTGGACTGGGCTGAAGACAAAGCCAACCAGGACATACAGTTCACATTTCCATTCACTTTCAGGCTGAATGTGCTGAAAGAGAAAAGGTTCAGCTTGTGGAACTTGTCCATCACTTCTTTACTGAAGACCAAAGAAGCAGGAATCTGCGGTTTGAACAGTTCCAGGTTGTGTTCATCTTTGACGGACTGGATGAGTGTCGACTTCCTCTGGACTTCGACAACACTGAGATCCTGACTGATGTTACAGAGTCCACCTCAGTGCGTGCTGCTGACAAACCTCATCAGGGGAACTGCTTCCCTCCGCTCACCTCTGGATAACCACACCGACCTGCAGCAGCCAAATCAGATCCTATCCCGAGTGTGTTGACATGGTGACAGAGGTCAGAGGGTTTCACTGACCCACAGAAGGAGGAGTACTTCAGGAAGAGGTTCACAGATGAGGAGCAGGCCAGCAGGATCATCTCCCACATCAAGACATCACGAAGCCTCCACATCATGTGCCACATCCCAATCTTCTGCTGGATCACTGCTACAGTTTCTGGATGATGTGTTGAAAACCCGAGAAGAAGGACAGCTGCCCAAGACCCTGACTGAGCTGTACATCCACTTCCTGGTGGTTCAGACCAAAGTGAAGAACATCAAGTATGATGGAGGAGCTGAGACAGATCCACACTGGAGTCCAGAGACCCAGGGAGATGATTGAGTCTCTGGGAAACTGCTTTTGAGCAGCTGCAGAAGGAAACCTGATCTTCTATGAATCAGACCTGACAGAGTGTGGCATCGATATCAGAGCAGCCTCAGTGTACTCAGGAGTGTTCAACAGATCTTTAAAGAGGAGAGAGCCTGTACCAGGAAAAGGTGTTTCTGCTTCGTCCATTCTGAGTGTTCAGGAGTTTTCTGGCTGCTCTTCATGTTCATTTGACCTTTCATCACTCTGGAGTCAATCTGCTATCGAAGAACAAACAACCTCCCAGACGTCTGAAACAAAACAAGACAAATCCGCAGAGACAAACTTCTACCAAAGCGCTGTGGACGAGGCCTTACAGAGTCCAAATGGACACCTGGACTTTGTTCCTCCGTTTCCTCCTGGGTCTCTCACTTCAGACAACCAAGATCACTTACAAGGCCTGTTGACACAGACAGGAAGTGGTTCACTGACCAATCAGGAAACAGTCCTCTCTACATCAAGAAGAAGATCAAAGAGAACTTCCTCTGCAGAGAAAACCATCAACCTGTTCCACTGTCTGAATGAACTGAATGACCATTCTCTATTGGAGCAGATCCAACAGTACCTGAGTTCAGGAAGTCTCTCCTCAGAAAAACTGTCTCCTGCTCAGTTGTCAGCTCTGGGTCTTCACTTACTGTCGTCAGAAAAAAATCTTGATGTGTTTGACCTGAAGAAATACTCTGCTTCGAGGAGGCTCTTCTGAGGCTGCTGCCAGTGGTCAGAACATCCAAGACAGTTCTGTATGTATAGCTATAGATAGCTGGATTTGTTCATAATTAAATGAAGACATAACTATCTTTTCAACAGAAGACAAATAAATAACTCATGGTTTCTTTTTCTTGTTTTATTTTCTCTCCAGGTTGAGTGGCTGTAACCTCTCAGAGAGAAGCTGTGAAGCTCTGTCCTCAGTTCTCAGCTCAGAGTCCTCTAGTCTGAGAGAGCTGGACATGAGTAACAACAACCTAAACGATTCAGGAGTGAAGCTGCTTTCTGCTGGACTGGAGAGTCATCACTGCTCACTGAAAACTCTCAGGTCAGCATTCATCAACCTGTTCAACTGATGACCATTTAAAATCTGATTTACATTAGTGGAACAGCTGTTGTTGCTAACTTGTGTAAGTTGTGTCTGCTCATGTTTTGTCAGGACATTTACCAAGAATCATGAAAAACAAATTTTTCCAAACTAAGAGTTGTAGTGAGAGAAGCCCATTGATGTGTGACATGATTTTTGTGACACTGCAGTATAAATATTGTTATAAACAATTAACTTTTCACATTATATAACGTGATACTGACCCCTTTTAATTTGTGTGGCATAGCAGCAATTACACTTCCATACAACTGAACTGAAACAAGAAATATATATTTGTATACATAATTGACCAGCTGGTAGAACATTCACGTACAGCAACACAGTGTTGAACATTCACCATCCGCTGAGGGAAAAGGGAGAAGACACATCCTGACAATATTTGCCATTCAGTGAGTAGGCGGGGGTTTCCTAATCAGGTCTACAGGGCGTGGATCCACCCAACTAGCTAGCAACAGTGACACCCTCTTTTTTTTTGGTGGAACTCCATGTTAACATGTTAATGTTTTAGCTCCAAGCCAACATTTGTCTGGGTCCAGTTTCATAGAGCTACCACCATGACTATAGACTGTTGTTTTGTTTTGTTCTGCAGGCTGTCAGGCTGTCTGGTCACAGAGGAAGGCTGTGCTTCTCTGGCTTCAGCTCTGAGCTCCAACCCCTCCCACCTGAGAGAGCTGGACCTGAGATACAATCATCCAGGAGACTCAGGAATGAAGCTGTTGTCTGCTGGACTTGAGGATCCATACTCAAGACTGGACACTCTCAGGTATGGAGAGGCCTCCTGCAGCCGCAGACATTGTCTGTTAGGGGTTGACTAAATAATATGAATGAGAGAAAATTCTGCCTCTGTCTTTTTAGTTAATGATTTTATGGCCTCCATAACCAAACCACAGGTTCAACTGGAAACTGGAACATATAAAGGACGAACAACACAAATGAGATGCCAAGAAAAAAATAATCATTTAAATTTTAAACAAAGCAAACCCTACTCAAAATACTTAAGAAAACAAAAGAGGGTTGGAGATCCCAGTCAAAAAGAACAAAAGGAGCCACGCAACGGGCTGTAACACTCTGGTACTCCCCCCTAGACTGCCTAAAGAAAACTAACTCAACCAAAACAAAAAAACAATAACTGGACTA